GTTAACTGTCAAGATTCTTGTAGAAAAAAGACATCTACGCCTTTTAATGTAGTTGTAGCCATTGTCCTGTATATCTCGTATTAAAATATATCCTTTTTGTTGTCTGGTTATTTAAGTAGTTTTCTTTAATTTAAGAAAACGAGATAAATCTTCGCTGTAATTATCAACCCGTTAGATTTAATTTCGTCAAAAGACAAACATGGATCAGCGTTGGAAGTGGTGATGGATCTCTTTTAAGTATTTAACAGAGAAAACGCCAACAAGACAAATCAGGGCTAGTTATTTACTTGTAAACTCATAACAATACCGGAATATCAATTTTGCGAGGTTTGATTTCTGTTTTCATTGCTTAGGATAGTTTGAGCTAATTATTTATTTTTTCTTTACTGGCGTTTTCTGTGTTTAGAGCTAGACCACCCGGCTACTCCTTGACGATTTGTAAGCATAACTTGAGGCAGGCGTTCTCCGGTTTTTCCAAACTGCTGCTTTCTTACGAGTTTTATAATAGTCTTACCACTGCACTTCATATTTGTCCAAGCTATATTCATTTTATACATATAACAACAATGTAGGGACAGTAATGGAGTAGAAACTATGGAAGTTAGAGAAGCAAACAGAAGCATAGCCGATACAAATCGTACTTAAAATCCATCAATAAATAAGGTATGCCATATTTTCTTTTCAAATGACTCAATTTAATAAAATGGCTTAACTACAGATTTTGACTAGCATGTTGAAATTGCCTCTATTATCCTTTTTATTTTTGATGTAATTTATTAATTTTGGAGTCCTTAGAAAGAATCAGCAAAGTTGTAAAAAAAATTAAGAGCGTGTTTTTTTTTTTTGGTCAGTATAAAAATAAAAAGTGGTATTTAGCTAAAATATATCAAGAGTTTTTTTTCTTTCCACACTGGTAAGTTCTGCTCTCCAACCATCGTCCCTCATTCTTCATTGTTTTGTTCATTAATGGTCGATTAAATCAATCATTTTGTTTACAAAATATATAGTTATTATAACTTTATGTTAAGTTATTTTGTTAATAGTAAAGAGAAGAAAGGTTACCTGGATTTGAGAGATAATCAGCAGTAATTGAAAAAACATGTTTCAGACTTAGAAATCTTATTTATTCTTTTCTTATTACTTTTGACTAGAATTGAGTTTATAAGATTGCGAGAGAATTAAATTTGTAGAGAGAATTAAATAAATAATTGATTTAACAAAAAAAAAGGTAAAAAAAAATAATTGTAAGAAAAGCACATGACATTGCAATTATTTCGAAAAATCCTTGTTAATTTCATAAATGATATTGCCCTATTGGTCCTTTTAGCACTTCAAATTTAAACTAGTCATTGCATTTCTACCAACTGCAAAATGGTTCACATATTTTTTTTTTTACTTTGAAATTAATCGATAATATTTTACAAACTAACTATAGAAATGTTTATTTTTATTCAATGTTTTGTAAATGCTTCACACACCAATGTAATTTCCAAAAATCCGGAGCACAATCACCCCTGTATATTTAATAGTTTTAACGCAGAGAAACTAAATGTTACTGTAAGCTGAACATTCAATGCATTTTTTACAATTTTTTAACACAGAGAGATCATGACCTCAATTTTTTTTCCTTGTCAAGTTAAATGTCATTTTTTTTAATACATGAAAATCAGTTTTTTTTATCAACATCGGAAAACTTTGTTATTTCGCGTATTTTTTTTTAATATTTGGAATTAAAATAAAAATAATAACTTTTCTGCTTTTTTTTTTACTCAAAAATACAATCTTTACACTATGTGAAAAGAATTGAGGTCAAGATATTTTGTTTTTTTGCCAAAAGAAAAACTTAATTTTGGTTAAAAACCACTTCTAACTTTGCTTATCAAAAACTAAAAATATAACGTTTAACGTGAGAATAAGTTCAAAAAATTTTTTTTAGCCGTAATAAAAATCTTGAATTCATAAGGATTAAACCACGCTTAAATTTTTTTACTGACCAAAAACGAAAAATACTCTCGTCACATTAAAAAAAAAAGCATTTAACATGAAAAAAATTAAGTTCGAAAACTTTTTTTACTGTAAAAAAAATCTTGATTTATTTCGGATAAAATATCTTTTTATTTAACCGACCAAAAAAAAAAAGAATAATAACCCTCGTGATTCGTTGACTTAAATTGTCTTTCGCTGTAAACAAATCTTGAATTATTTCAGTTAGAAACCACTTATTTTTTTTATTACCTAAAAGCAAAAACATAATAAAGAGATGAAATAAAAATTATGAGAAAAAATTGGGACAATAAAACATTTTGCTAAAAATCACTTTTTATTCTTTTAGACAAAAAACACCTTCCCAATTTCTTCTTCTTTCTTGAAAAGTATATTTAATAATACTTACCATCGTGAGTTCATAACAGTTACTTTCCAGAAATAAAACTTTGAAATTTTCCAAAAAAATTGTTTTAATAAAACTTTTTTTTTTTTTTTAAATTTCTATATTTACAGCTTTTTGACAGCTTAATTACATAGTGTTGCCTCATTAAAAAAATAGTCATTTCTAACGCACGAGAAACCATCTGTTGTAAAGACATTTTCTTTTTATTTGAGATTATTTTCAAAATGGGTCCCTAATCATAGTTGTGGTCCGAAAATTCTGAAAAAAATTAGTTTACCCATTTTTCTTTAGCATTTTTAAAATTTATGAAAATCTGTGACACTATAAAGATGGCAATCAGGTTTTATAATGTGGTCGATTTTACTTAAATTGAGCCTAGAGCTGCCTGGATTAGTGTAAAAATCGAGCACTAACGTGAAATCACTCCCTTCGAATGTGTTAAAAATTTTCCTATCAATAGTGTTTTTAAATTTCACTTGGCTTCCAGGAGAAATTGGTGAATTTAGACTTTTGTTTTCCCCAAGATTGAAGTTATAATCATAATTATTAATGATAAAGTGAAATTACCAATCTAACTTTATTGTATTGTTATCTCGTTCAGCGCTTAGCTTCCCAGCGTGAGCGCTAACGTACTTTGGCGGGCAGTGAAAAGTTTAATGGAAGGCCATCTATAATTTGTCTTTAGAAAAAACTACCCTTGTCACAAAGTTTGAGGCCACCAGCTGCTATAGAAACAAGAAATAGCACATTTCATAGAGGTGAGCTTCTTTCTCCCTTTTTTTGGTCGACCCTAGCCAAAACCTGCCTCAAATTCTGACTCACCTGATTTTGAAATTGTTTATCCTCATAACCTTAGTCACCAACACTGCTCTAGACGAATGGTGAGAGGAGTACGTTCCATTTACAGACTGTAGATTATGTACTCAGGGGATTTCTAGGATTGGAGATTTAAGAAACTATGAATGAAATAAGCATTGCATGCACATGAAATTGCACTCATTTTGAGGTTTGATATCGAGGAATTATTTATATTTTTAACTTGGCGCATAATACATTTAAACTATTGGTCATAAAAAAAAACTTTCAACTATGAAAAAATATCAAGTTCTGTATTACCATTCTACGATTTGAACTTAAAACATCGTTTCCTAAGTCTACTTCATATTTCCTCAAAAAAAGCAGCTTTATTCGTGGAATTAATTTCCTTTAAATTAAAACAAGAAATTTATTATTTGAAACTTTTTATTTAATTTTTTCTTTTAACTTCTTTTATATAAAAAATATTTGTGAGTTTATTTTAAAGCTAATTTGCAATAAGTTTTGTTTTTAATAATTTAAAGGTACTATATTATTTAGTATTTTCGGATTTCACATAGAAAACTTTAAAAAATGCGAAGTATAATTTAAAATATATGCTTCACTCAGCAGTTGTTGTAAATAGCACAGGAGATTAATTGCAGATGGACTTAATTATTCTTTTAATCATAATAAGATAATTTTGAATAAAATAACACAATATGATGCTAAACGTCATCACTGAAGTCTTATTTTTATTGCAGCAAAAATAATATTTATTTAAGTATTTAATTTTAACTGTCAAGTGATATATTCAGGGCTGCCACTCTAATCTGGAAAAAAAATTACCCCTTTTTTCCCAGTACATAATAAGAGGAAACACACTATTTGTGTTTTAGTGTGAGCTTTGTTGTTCTAACTGTACTAAATTTAACTACTGGAGAAACTTAAGAAAAAAAGGAATAGCTGAACATACTTAAAACAAATAATGCAACAGTGAATGAACTAGCTTAATTTAGGTGAAATATTATCCTTAAATAATCCATAGGTAACACGTTGAGGGGTTACCAATTTTTAAAAGACGAAAATAAGAAACAAAAATCACCTTTTTCCCCAATTACAAAAGAAAAACTTAAAATTTCCCTGCATTTTAGGTGATCTTTAAATTTCCTGTATTTTCCAGATTCTCCCTGTGGAGTAGCAACCTGATATTGCATTGATTTTTACACAACCACTTAATTTTACCGAATTTGTCTCCGGAAAATCAGAATAAAAAATACCAATACAAATAGGTTATAATTTTAATAACTCTGGTAAAGATTATAGAAGTGCATGAAAATAAAATTATACAATTTTTAAGGGGACGAAATATTCTGTTAGTTACTAATTTCTTTTATTGTTCATTTTATTTAAGGGAGATTAAAAATTTGTTATGATCTGTTTAGTGAGCGCACATCCAAAATAATTTTGTAAAATGGAACTTCACTGCTCAATGCAATATCGCTTCAGATCGTGACATTAAGCTCGATATTAGCAACTCCCTTATTCACATATTTGCTTTTAAGAATATTGTTATTGCACGTTTTGAAAAGCCAATATATTTCAGAGCTATTTTGAGCCAAAAGGATATTCTCCTAAGACTATTTTACCAAAACTAGATAGAAATTGACAAAAGATTTCTCTATTAAATTTTATTTTTGAATAAAACACTTTACTTTGGAGCAGGAAATGCTCTGGATTGGTTTAAGTAAAAATCAATTAATCAATAAGATACATTTTCAAGGACAAAGAATTATTAAAAAAACAAACAATATAGTTAATAATAAGCCACAAAAGTTTTAATGACAAAGTATCTTTTTGATGATTATATACAGTCAAAAATATTAAAAAATTTAAACAACTGTAAATAATCCCATAAGGTCTACAACTAGTCACTCACTCAATTAACTTTGACAAATATTCATTGCGATTTTCAGGAGTATATTTTGCTAAGGATTCGAAAAACTCTAGGGTCTTCTTGTGATTTTTTTCAGCAGCTTTTATTCTTTTTTGGATATCATCTCCTCTAAGATTTTCTGTAATTTGTCTCGCATTGCAAAGCTCTTCATATGTTTCAGCTGTGTAGTTCATTTGTATCAAACGCCGGCGGTTAAGGATCAGCTCATAACTACCCTGGTTATTCTTACGAGCTGTTCTACCTTTAATTTGTATCTCCTCCTTTTCGTCTAAAGAGAAGAATGTCTGGATGACGTGCACACCGCCATTTTCTTCGACACTTCTGTCGTTCGACTTGTAGTCAATACCACGACCCATAGTCTTAGTAGCTAGAGTCACAGTTTGTGCAACACCAGCCTCATTAATACGCCATTCTAAAGTTTTTGGATCTTCGTTTCCTGTAAGTGTGTACAGGCGATCGATGCTAGATTGATATTGGCTTTGGAATAACTCCATTTCTGTATCCTCTTCGAAAAAAACCAATACAGCACGATTAAGGTGAACGTTCTTAGAAATACTTTCGAATATCTTTGTCAGCCAACTCGTTTTTGAGTTTAAAATAGATACATGTTCAAGGGGGTTAAAAACAAGTTTGCGCTCTCCAAAGAAGGATGGCATAGCTGACATGGTTTGAATACCGTACTTTTTCAAGGCGTTTTTTTCGGAGTCATTTAAACTCAATAGTGTTCCAGTTACTCCCAAAATACTTTGGTATCTCAAAGGCAGGCTTGCATATGAGATAGACCCTACTTTCACTTGCAAAAATCCAAAATTTGAATAATTTTTATCATCATAATTTTCCGTTTTAAGCCTAAAATAATTAAATGAATTCTGATAATATACATACGTATTTGTACAGTATTGGAAATACTTATCTTTTCTACAAATAAATCCTTGCTGGTTGATTTTATATTCACCCTTACTATCGGCATCCGTAAAAACATATATCGCATCTTCAACCATTCTTTCCAATTCCTTCTCAAACAAAACAGAGGAGGTTTTCAAGAAATTTCTAAAATCTTCGTAATTTTCATCTTTTATTAACTCACTTATGAACACTCTAATCTGTTCTAAAATTCTATTTTTTACAAAAACTCCGTTCTGGATAATTTCCCAGAGTTTCGGCTGGATTTTTAGTAGTGCTGGAACACCTACATTTGCAGCAGGCATGTAAACAGTTCCGTAAAAATCCTCTGAGAAAAAAACATCCACCTCATCAATTAAAAGAACAACTCTTTCAGATTTCGGGATAGTACTAACAATCTGTGTTGGAAGTTTGTTTAAAACTAAATCTTGAATAATGGATCTTAAGGATGTTTTTACCCCATTAACTTTACGCGATAAAGTTTCATTAGCCATAAAGTCAAACGTATTGTAACTTATCTTGTTCTTTACAATGAACCTATCAAAAGTTTCGAAAAATGATTTGAACCTTGTTTTATCTCGCTGTGCTAAATAATCGCTATAACAAACTATGCAAGCCTCATTATCTGTTAATGCAACTAAAACTGAAGTCAGAGCTAAAATGAGGGATTTTCCTTGACCCGTTAAGACTTGAGCAAAATGTTTAGGAACCCCAACAGAGTCTTTATCAACTCCCAAAAGCCTAAATATGCACAGAATTTGAACGCAATGTGGCTCAATTTTTTTTTTAATACCAGACATATCCTCAGACTCTTGCATAGACCAAACTGCAGCTAAATTAGCCAACAAAACTGGTAATGATTTCAGTTTAAAATGCGATGTCCACTGATGTAAAGGCAATTTTTTTACCTTTTTTAGTTGATTTTTTATATCATTCAAAATTTCCGAAATTTCGAAGTTTTCCAAAGAAAGAAGTTTCTTAGAATATCGGTCATAGCACTCTTCTAATAAGGTTTTATCCATCATGGTTTTAAATCCACTTTTTTCAGCTTTACACACTTCCTGTTCGCAGAGATTTAAAGCTACTTGAATACCAATTTGATTTTGCTTTCTGACATAGACGTAAAAGTTTTCAACATTATCTAAACGTCTCTTGAAATCCCGGTAGGTATGGCTGTTCTGTACAACACAGCAAAAAGGCAACGTGCAATCTCTCAAGAAATGTTCCAAGTCCCTATAATCAACTTGGTCTTCAAAATGAGTAAAGGAGTGTCCAACAGCAAGGAGTAAATCACCTGCTGATTTTACACTATCTTCATCACTCCAGCCTACTTTGTCCAGGGACATTCTTACAACATCCAACAACTTTTTTACTGCCTCAAGCAAAAAATGCCTTGGGATTGGTTTTTCATTCGTCATAAAAATTTCCACAAAATCTTCCGGTTCTATTACACGATACGAAGTTACATCGTTCTTTGTAACCTCCTCAACAACTCCTTCTAACTCAGGGAAATAGGAGAATTTAGACATAAACCATTGAAAATTGATGCCTTGCAGATGCTTCAAAAACTCGTTGTATAACCTTAAAAATTTTATTCTTACAAGTATATCAATTTCTTTCAAAAATGCGTTTTGAACTATTTCCAATAACTTCTTCATGACCAATTCAACATCAGACTTAAATATGCTACATGGTATTGGAAGCTTTCCAACTATTGAATCTCTATGATCCCAATACTCATTATAAATCATTAATAGAGTAGCAAAATGATCAGATAGAGTATCTCTATCTTCAGCGATAAGTATACTGCTTATAACATCTATTTGTTTGACTAAAATATCATGATCAATGCTAGTTAAAACCGAATAAATTGTACTGATATAAGGAGATATACGGGTAACGAACTGTATGATGTTATGAGTAGCTACACGACAAGTTTCATATCGTTCTTCTCTAACATCCTGCATGAACTTTACAAACCCATTTAGTACTGGTAATGACAATTCTTTAAATAGGGCCGCAGAATTGTCACACAAAATAGGTTCGAGGCTAGAATCAACTATGTATAACCAAACAAGGCGTTCCTGAGACAAGTTCTTAACTGTTTCCCAAAGAGATGCATCTTCGTCTCCATTCAGCAACTTAAATGTATAATTGAAATTATTTTGATAAAAATAAATTCCTGGTTCAAAAAATTTAATAAGTTTGCACATCAAAAGGTATTGTTGTTCGAGAGATATGTT